ATCATCTTACATAAATCTGTCCGGTCACGTTTTCGTGCGCCGCTCTTTGATTAGGATGGATTTCAGGTCGGAGCCAGGGAGTGACTCCGCCACCCACGTATTCAATTTTCCGAAAAGCTCGGATGTTTGGTCCATCGCTGCTTGTGAGTCTCGCAGTTGCACAAAGCCGCGGCATGACGTCCAAGGTGTCCCATCGACAATAGCAAAATACGGCATGGAAAAGGAATCCCCACGACTCGCTCCACCCGCTTGATCCTATCGATTCACGGTTCACTTAGTTCGAGCCTTCCATCGACATTTGTCGTACAACTCACTTCGATGTTGTTACATAACGATTCTGTGTCCACGAGACGTTAAATCTCACCCGTCGTCGATAAACCGGCGTACGTTTTCCCCGAAGAAACTGTGCGCGATCGTTCACATAAATCTTACGGTTAGTCCGTTTCGTTTTCTTTTCAAATCTAATAGTAGTCCATCGGGACTTCATCGTGTTGTCGCGGCCGGCTCTGCCCATAATTATAGTCACATGAGCATGCTCAGTGACAGAAAGACATTTTAAATGATGATAAAGTACAAAAGAAGAAGTATAAAAGACGCGTGAGAAAAAAAGTATATTTTATAGATATTATATAATATAATATCTCTCTCTCTTTCTTTTTTAAATGTCAAATAGAATGTGTCAGAGTAAAATATCTACACTGTCACTTAATAGTAGTTGGATCTAACTTCTGTGCGTTCTATTTTACATAATATTTTTGAAGCTTTACTAATTTGTGCTGTAACTAATACGAGAATAAACTGTGACACAAAATATTACAGAACTGTCTATTCCTCGAGGCCTCCACAGTCCAAATTGCTCCGAGCTGGAGTCACGTGGCAATAACTTTAAAATTTGATTGCAGCAGACATGGGGATAGGCTACCCCCAAGGCAACCATGGTAATAGGCGCTCAACCCTCGCACCCACGCTCTTCGCGAACTAAGCTTCGAACCAGCTCCACCACCACCACTCTACGTCGTAAATAAAACGAAATTGTTGACCGGTACCTTTCGGCTGGTTAAGCGTTAAACAAAGGCACGTCGGGCGCCGTATCTTTGATCTCTGTTTGCCGAGGCATGCATCACCCGCGAGATAATCAGGAATAATTATTTGTTAGATAAATACGATCGTAGCCGGCGATAGCGCGCTAAATTTATGATGGACCACTTGCCGCTTGTAAATGACATAGAGAGCTCGTTCGCGCCGAGCTATGAATATCGCCATTCGAAGTCTGTAAAGCTGGCACTCCAAAATGCGAATTTTTATAAATCCTATGCGTCATTTGATTGTCCACAATTTTATCATATTTGTCCATAATTGTCCACTTTGCAAAGAAAAATTATACATAAAAATTTGATTTCGAAAAAATTTTATCCAATTTTTTGTTTGTGTGTAACTTTTTTCTGCAAAGTGGATAAAAAAATATATATGGACAAATATTATAAAATTATGAACAATCAAATGTATTCTGGGATGTCAGTTTGACAGCCTTCGCTATTCGCGCGGAGCACGAAAGTCGAGCGTGCTAAGTTCGTGTCACATTAAATGCTGTTACCATGCTGGCCTGATCCTAATTTAATAAACAACATCGGTATTAGCATATAAATCAAATAATTTAATTTGAATACTCAAATAGCCTAACGTAAATGTTTAAGTTATTCCATTTCTGCTTTTCATTCCTTGAAATTAATATATCAAGTATTATTTACAACGTCTTTCAACTTTAAAAATAATAAAACAAAGAAAAATTTCATAGATTGAATCATGTATCTTTTAGCCTGAGTCGAGATCTTAATATCATGTTCTGCATATGTATATTAGCACGTGTTGACGCATATATACACATATATATATATATATATATATATATATGTACGTCGAGTTATAGCATGCCACTTGCCGTGTCTGATGCTTGCATAACACTCGACTAGTTTGAGTAGCCTTTCTCGATCTTCCCAACGATTGAATTACGCGAAAAAATCGTTGCACTTCTGCTTTGCGTTCCTGACATACCAAGTGAAATCGATACATCCATATTGTGTGCATTGGTGCATCAAAAATAATACTCACGTAAATATTTTCAATTCAAATATAATACAATGAATGTTAAACGCGTTCGACTGTGTTTCTCATAGTCATGTTAATTTACAACTTTAACTAGACATATTATTCTATTTATCAATCGCATTATTTTTCTATTTTTGAGTGTATATAAGACAATATAATACGACAATGATAAAAACCTCAAATTTAAAATATTTCACTTCACACACGGAGACAGAAGAATAAAAAATAAACTGCTACTAAAATGCGTTAATTTACATAATTCTAAATGAATATTTTTGGAGATTCTGCGTAAAATTAATTTTTTTATAACCAACAATATAAAACCTGTCTGTCAGAATCATTTTATTGTTTTGCTATTTTATACCGTAGCCAATTTGACGTCTGAAAATTTGCAGAAGAGCCCGAGTCTACTGGCGGTCTACTGTGTCGTACATCAACATCTCGCGGAAGGTGGGCGGACATCGCGTCAGCGGCTGACGCCCCGCGAAATTGAATCTAAAGGTCCGAGTGTGCCCTCACACGCCAATCCTCCCCACGGAGTTCCAGGGAGGTCGCAAATCATCACCTCGCTACATTTACAACGCTAGATAGCCCAAGATTACAGTTGTTCCAAGGAACGCTGTAGGAAACTCAAGATGCCTCTCCTCTCGCTCTTCATCTCTTCTCTTTCTCTCGACCGGAATATTGCAGTGCCTTTCGCGAAAGCGATCCTCCGCCACTCTCGCGCGCTCGTTGCCTACTTAAGCGAAACAATGTGGTCCCTCGGCGATCGGCCGCGCGAGCAACGTCCAGCTCGTAAATTATCCGCCGGCGAGGACTAATGAGTTCGTGATTATAGGGACCGGAGGTAAAAGGAGGCGTTCTTGCGGATGCGCGACGTTCGCACTGGTGATATATCTCAGGTTTGTTGCTGTTCAAGACGAATACGTGAAAGTGTATCCAGAACGATTTTTTCGTCGGCGAGGGTAAATGAATTCGGCGGACGACAAGATTCGTCGTTCCGAAACGGAGTGTGCGGATGCGTCGGCCTCGATTAGATTTAGCACAGTGACGTGGGTCCGAGGGGATTCTTCAAATTATTATGGATGGTGCATCATGTTTCCAAAACAAAGATTTGTATCTTTTACCGTCGTCGTCTGACCGACATTCTTAAGCTGTTGGTGAGATATAAAATATTATCTACTTTCCTTTCTTTTCTTGTGGTTTCCTATTCTCCCACTCAAAAAGATTAAAAAAATTCACCGTATTACGCGGTAGTCTCGCGTAAAGATCTCCGGCCATTATTTACGAACTAAGACTCGATGATCTCAAGAGGATCAGCCGTATTCTGTTTGCGAATGGGATTTGCTCCTGGCCGGTCAAACAATGCGCCTTGAAGCGCGCCATCGGCTCGAGTCTCTCGTATTTCTCTTAAAACGACGCGAGCGTTCACGTGTAGCGGCAGAAAGGATTGGAGGTGGGTATTCTCTTCCTTTTTGTCCGCGAGGAACTTTGGTCTCACACGAAATTCCAGACATCTTCCTCTCTCTTCTTCTCATCCATTTGCCTTCGCATGTTCTTTCGCGCTGCCCGCAAAACATGCGCAACTTCGTACGGATTTACCCTTTCTCGGTCGCCTTAAGCCGTTGCCGCGTTTTTACATTCTCGACGAAATCCCTGCGGCTTTGTGCCAGTTTATTACGTTTGCCAACCAAATGATGTCATTAGATATACTTAGGCGGGGCTTTATTGTCGTCTTTTATGCCAGTCGAAAGGCTTCCGTGAAACGAATTCGTACTGAATGTTCACGACTCATCGGTTATTGCGCTAAAATTCGTCTCGTTCGTTCCGTCCGTGTTCCTTGAATCTTAAAACGTTCTTACGAACATTTTTCTTTATGAATATATTTCTTTTTTCTTCTCACGACCACGTGAGAACCAGCCATACTTTTTTATCGCCTTTATATTGCTGGACATTTCGCAGCAGCTTTCTTGTAAGACTATGTGTTTCGTGCATGTGTATGTTTTACGATAAGCCTTTGTGTGTTACGCATTTCGAACGCGTGAATTAAAATCAATCCAAGCTTTAATAATAAACCATGAGTTTTACGACACAAAGAATTGATAAATAATGATTAATCGTCTGTTATGAAATTGATGAAAATGGGTCAAGAAATAAAATTCTATATACAGCGAGATTATATATCTTTAACAAAATAATTAAAAAAATTATTAGAGTAAATTGTACAGTTGGAAAAATTTTTATATTTTATGACAGCATCAGACATTGTTGAACAATATTTTTAGATAATTTTTGTTTTAAATACTCTTAAGATTAATTAAGAATTATCGTAATCTTTATGTCTTTCTACGCACAAGCATTGAAACGAATATTTATCTGAATTATTCATAAAAATTTTTAACTATTAGTGAATTATATTTCAAATAAAATTTTTATTAACAAAAATATAAAAAAATCAGTCATGAAAAATTAAAGAAAAAAATAAAGTGGCCTATGAGGGGATCGAACCCGCGACCTTCGCGTTATTAGCACGACGCTCTAACCAACTGAGCTAATAGGCCTGTTGCAAGGCTGACAAAACTTTCGAATTTAACGATAGTATATGACACATTATATTATAAATATTGAATTTATTAAGAAAACAAATACTTTAAATAATAACTGACATAATATAAATAAAATAAATATGTATAAATAAAAATATTGATAATAGAATAAAATGATAAAATTTATAAGCATCGAATATTTTGTAAAATAATCAAAATCAAAATCGAAAAGAAATTTGATATTGTAAATGGATAGTCTTTTATTTTTTCTTAGTAGTGGCATCTTTGGTTATAAAAATTTATAAAATTTATAAATTTACAAGTACAGAATAAATTTGCAAGAATAAAATGCCGGTCGAATTGCCAGTTGACACGTTAAACAAATCTTCGTCGGAGGTTGTCTTTAGAAGAAAACATAATGCTTTGTTTAAGAAATTAGCGCAGAAGACTCACTTCAACTTGAGAGAAGTTGAAGGTTATATAACAAAATGAAACATTTGTCAATCTTTTATTAATTTGGTACGAGTTTTATGTTGTTAATATTTATCACTAATTAATTTTATCATAGCATTAGCTATTATACATAGAAAAATAACGCAAACCTTGGGCCCTATGACAAGAGTGATATTTAGAGACGTTTTGCATTCTAGTTTGGATTTTACTGAAAATATTCGACATTTATACATCGACAGAATATTTGCTACGTTTGACAAGAAAAACGTCTTGCAAGTATGAAGAATTAACGTAAAAGTATAGTAAAATACATCATAATTAATATTAATTAATATGTGTTGATATGTGTAGATTCACTTGGAACAATGGATTGAAGGGCTCTCTATAATCCTTCGTGGCAACTTAAATGAAAGGATACATTTTGCTTTTACTGTAATGTATTTAGTGCATTCATGCTTCTGTAATCACTCTATTTAATTCTTTAAATTTTAGTTTGAATCTCTGATTGTTTTTACAAAGTTAAAATAATTTTATTGTGGTAAAAATTGAAAGAATCAAGCTTTAATTAAAATTAATTATTATCTAATTATGATATTTATGGAATGCGCAGGTATACGATTTTTTTCGTACTAACAAATTGAAGAAGGAGCAAGTATTTCCATCAATGCGAGGTTGCTTAATTAAATTACAGACAGACGAAGATCCCGATGAAGGAGTAAAGGTTAATTAATTAACAACATCCGTATTATTGTTAAAGATATTGAAAATGACGTAAAATGTGTACATGAAATAATAACAAGCGATTGTGACGTTATAGGATTTGATTGATTCACTGCTGAAAAAACTCGATGTCGATCGCGACGGTGTAATATCCGAGGAAGAATTTTCAAGGGCCATAAAAGAAAGAAATCTATTGCTATTAGAATGTATGGGACCAGTGTTTCCATCAAGAGTAGCACGACGAGCGTTTCTGAGCACATTTACGAATCGACTTGGACGATTTTGATTTGAATGTTTTACAAAAAAAATTATTATTTATATAATCCTATACTTAACGTTGATCTCGTTTCATTAAATTTGTAAAAATAAACATGTATAGTAAAGGTACACATACCAATCGTTTAAATTGTATTGTCAAGAGCTATTCAAGCTAAGAGGACCCAAGTGCAGCCCGGTGCAATAGACAGGCAAACGCGTTTAATCAGACAGAAAAAATCCCTCTGAACGAACAACGCTCCAATAAGTTTTCGAGATTGTCGACGTAACGTAACAGCGTTTCCGATTCACAGAACGATAGCAATTGACTCGTCCGTTTTCTTCGCAAACAATCGCTAATGGACCGCGATAATACCGCATCCTAATCGCATCAACTCGCATCCGCGATACGATCGTCTGCGGGCGAATTGAATCGATCGCCCGATGAGCTCCCGCGATCGTCATAAATCTTATTACTATGATCAGCATGATCAGATAATCGATCCATATATCCGTGTGCTATTTGCCGTGATGCCTCGATCAATGATCGCGACTATGTTTTGCAATCTATCTCGTTAGTTGTATATCGTAAAATTTTTGCAAAATAAATAAAAAAAAACGATACGATCTAAAGATGTAAAGGAGGGAGAAAGAATCTGCACGATACGAACGTCTCGGGTGTTCTATAATATTAAACGGATCGCATGTGGTCCACCTGCTCCGCGATCTCTCGATTAATAAAGACCGCTCACGGGATACGGAGCAAATATAGATCTTTCTTGACAGCGCGATCAACCGCAATCCTACCATCGCGGATCGCGCGAGCGGTCGTACGCGTCACAAAAAAAAGACCTATAATGAATGTTTGAAGGATCTTTGCGGATGGACGAATGGTACGATCCGCGTCTCAAGCAGCTATAACAACAAATTAAACGAGAAAGTCTCGAAGCTTTCGTCGGCTTGGCCGACATCTCTCGTTGCCTATGGTCTCGGCTACAATGCGTGGGCGTAGGGTATACAGTACCGAGGCGTATGGCAACGCGTATTTCTTTCGCGGTGATGGTGGGAGCGAGCTGGAACGATATTGTGTAAAGAGTATAATAACGTGCGTACGAAAGGCCGGATCCTTTGTGGGTAGCCGACCGTGTCCTGAAAGGATCTTCCAGGATCTGCTCGCGGGGGCGACGGGGCTACAACGACGGGTGGAGACGTCGAGGGTTAGGGGCACCAGCTGAGAAAACATGCCCGCGGCGTGTCGACGAAATACTCACGTACGAGCGCGCGCGTGTCTGCGCCAACGAAGCGAGGCGGGCTGGCGCACCGATCTGATCTGATTTTTGGACCATCGTCCTTTAAATTCCTTTAAAGGAGCACAGTAGAATAGAATGGGTTTATTTCACATTTCACAACTGAAAGCGGCGCTGTCTCGATGAATATCGGTGTTACTGTATTTGGTTACAGAGAGAAGTTATGGCCGCGGTATATTGGCGTGTAATATGGTGAACGCCTCGATAGAGGCAAAACCATTTCACTCTGTTGTAGTCAAGCGCGAGAAACTTTGGTAGACGCGAATAAATTATAAGCAGAGTCGCGAATGCAAAGAGCGACGGTGATTGCGGGTCGGTAGCGCCGGGAAATTAAGTCTGTTTGTACTCGACTTCCGCCGACGAGCCTTTGCTCACTGTCGGCGACAGATTTTATTAGGGATAAAATATCTTTCGTTAGCGCGAGAGATACGCCGCGCACCGACTTCAATCAGACGTAATAACAACAACACGGCTGCATATTAAAAACGGCAGACAGCGGGCGCCAGGTTGGTAATGATAATTCAGACGAGACGATCCTCTTTCTCGCGAACGTTTCGCAATTCATCGCTCTTCGTGGCGTGCAAAAGGCGAGACTCGTTTCGTTTACTGTGTTTGATGAAGACAGAAATTGCGGCGGCAACGCGTTACTGTGTAATCTAGCTACCGACGGCGTGGAAGCCGCAGAGAAGCGAATCTGTGAACGACGGTAACGATATATGCAATGTTGAATACGAAACATAAATTATAATCAGGCCTCGAATCGGGCGCGCGGATAGCCGTGATTACAACGGGAACGTGATGAGAACCCAGGCGATTCGATTTACGCGGTCCACGCCCACGCATCAAAGGGGCCGACGACGGGATCACGAAAATGCCCCATAAGTCTCTTTCCGACGATAAATCCGTAAAGAAACTCGCGGGCGACTAATCCGCGCCAAAGCTAATGTCTGGATTTGTTAGCCGAATATTCATATGAGTTAGGAGAAAGAAGTCTTGAGAGAAGAAATGTAACTGCTATACCGAATTTAGTTTCTAAATCCTTAAAAGAATTATGTTTTTTATGCATTGAATTCTATTGTTAGTTTATTATACTAGCAACATATATTATGTTCTGTTGAGATTTAGAGGCAGTTACTCGATTTTACGACAAATGTAACCTGATACAAATTTACACAGACCTGTCGCAAATTTAATTCCTGTTCGAGTTTTATTTGCAAACAATGCGCTATAACGTCCAAGTAACGCCGTACATTGGCGAGGCACAATGATCGCAAACATTGAGATTTATAGCAAGCCATATTCTATGCCGATACAAGCGCACGATTTCACGAAGCCGATAAATTTAATTAACGCAAGTATCGATAACTTTGGATTGGCTCGATGTATTCGATATATAGAGCGTATGGAATCTACGGGTGTGTGTTCGTGGACGATTGTGCAATCACTTTCCGAATTGTATCCATAAATATCACCGTCATGTGCTCTAACTGGAACCGCTTGCTTGAGTAATGTTTCGTGCGTGGAATGTTCAATAAAGCATTCAGATGCGTTACGCGCAAGAGGCGGGTATACCACGTGTCGTCCAGTTACAAGAAACGAGAAACCGCGGTATAAGGTCATCCGCACGAACACGAGACTGTTTTCTTGTCGAAACAGCAGGATCTGTCCTGTGATGTTAATATTGAACAAATGGATTCAGGAAGATCCCGCTAACGAATCCGATAATTTATCTTTTGTAGACACACGTGCTTTCGCAGTACAAGAGAAGTTTAAATTATGTATCGTATATATTAGAATTCGCACAGATTAATAAGAGAATATCCATGTAATATTCTGAAAATATCCCATATCTGTACCCATCTCATAATTTTTGAGAACCATAAAACTGTCTTATGAAAGATGATTTCTAGCTGGTATATTTCGCATTGAGATTATGCTGTAATTAATTCAATACCTATTCAACCGATGAAGTCAGTCTGGCAAAAATTTTTTTTTCCGTCAAGGTGGTTAGTTCAGCTTAGCAAACCGAGCGAATGAACGTCAGTGTGTAGTGATAGGATCTCTGAAAGGCACAACGGATACAACGCCCGCGTCGTGCCACGCGACTAGACAGATTTCGGAGAGGGAAGGGAACAGACGTCCGTCTTACGTGAACCGAGCGTGACGCGTACGCGACTTGACGGACGACCATATTAAATCAACCAGCTCTTCCAGACGTTTGTTTCTCCTTTCAAGCCGGATTCAATTTTCTCCACGACGTCTTGCAAATCGAGGGATATAGCCGCGTGGCCGAAATTTGCAGATACGACGCCTGATATAATGCCCTGATATAATGCTCTTTCGGAGGAGATCAGTGGTTATCATTCATTATTTCATTCACGAATACAATATAATATAGTCAACCAAATATCTACTTTATGAATTTTTAATATTTATTTACCGTGAATAATTTCTATTTATTATTTAAAAATGTTAAAAATAAATGTTTAAATTAATGTTTTTACGTATAAAACGTTATAAAAAATTATTAGAAACACTTTAAATCCCCATAAGAATGTTGTAAAATAGTATTTTTAAATCTCGTGAGATTTATATATGATGTTATTCGACAAAAAATTGCAAATTTATTTGTTTCAAGTTCAGCTCGCGACAAGCTCGATTGCCTTCAACAGATAGCGACCCAATTAATGAGCGAAAAAGAGAGGGGAGATCAATATTGATAGAGGGACCATCGTGTTCCCCCTTTCAGGTGGTCGTGAGGGTCGGACGAGCTGTAAGATAATAGCGGTGTGCAGGCTGAGAAATCGAGGGGATCGTCATAAACTATCTTGAGGTGTCGAGTTTGTCACGGTCATGCGAGACCGAGTTTTCAAAACAGGATTAGGCGTTCGCCGGATCTCAAGAGAGCAGTGGACATCATTCTCCCTTCTTCTCCCGTGATCCTGCGAAACGTGCGTCGTCTATTTTTTTTCAGTGACGTTCTAGCAAGACGTTCTTTCTCTCCGCGTCTGCAGACTCGACGAGGATTATTCACATCCGGTCATTTCTATTTAATTTTTTTTTCTCCAGCCGATCTCACATCTCCACTGAGAGATATCGAGTAGTTTATTGATCTATCTCGTGGGCGTCTATTCAACTGAGCGGGCTCAATGGCTTTTATCTATTGTTCGCCCTTCTACCAAATGGCCGCTTTTTTGATCTGATTTGTTCGGACGAGACTCTTCCTTTTTTATACTTCCTTTTGCGATTCCTGTCCGCAATGAATTTCGTAGAGATTTTTAACACGCTGCCAGTTGGTAAAAAAACCCGCAGAATTTTCCAAATACGGCGTTAATGCAATATTTTGACACAATAGTAATAACATTAAAAGTTGAAGTAGCAAAGACATGTCGCAGAGTTACGGTAATTTATTTTTTAGCCATGAACTGCAATAAAAGAATGACTCTCACAGTTTATATTGGCTTGTTTTTCGAGATTTTTTTCAACATCATCCAACGTTTGCAGGATGATTTACTATTCTACTAGAATACCAAGAAGAACCATACGCAAGAAACGATTGCTACAAAGTAGGTCGGATGTTTGGTCACGGAATTTAAAACGGAGGATTAGCATAATTAAGCAGTCGGACAGAAAACGTTTTGATTTTATGAACGTTTCTCTTGTCAGGAATTCTCTTACGACATACGTTTCAACATTTATATTGTCTTATCTTTGATTTTGCTTATTTTAGTAATACAACTATCTTTATACGATTTTCGAAAGTTTCCAAATGCACTTGGATTCATACCATAATTATAATTATCGCGCGGTATAAAAATCAACGGAATTTTAATTTCTTCTTTAAGCTTAAGTATCAAATCACCAAATTATATCGATTTTTTTCTTTTAATGTCTTCTTTTGTTCTTTATTGCCTCTTTTGCGCTGTATTTTCTCACGTTCATTTAATTACGTTAGAGATAATTACATTAGAGATAACGTTAGAGTAAAAAAGCAAGTAAATGTTAATCAATTTCGATTTTGATAAATATCTGATAACAATGCGAAGCATTCTCTGATATCTTTGGTAATGGATCAATAACATTTTATAGTATCTTTTGCTTTTTTTAAAACTTTACAAATGTAAAGCAGTGGACAAAATAGCGCAAACAGACAAACAAGAAGAAAAGGGAAAGTTAAAAAAAAAATCGTAATTTGGTCACAATTGTTAACTTAAGTTGTATTATTTCAAAATAATTCATATATTTAAATAATAAACAAATAATTGCAATCATCATTTGAGATATTATAGTCATTTCATTGTACAGGTTTCGTCATAGACTACTTTGCATCAATTTTATCAAACAATCGGTAAATAATAAAATCCACATTTATATAGTTATAGATACTATTGAATAAAAATCAATCTGCACAAAAATAATGTAAATTTACGTTGCAATTTTACCACATTGTGGTACACGAAATGCAGCAAGAGATGAAACGCACATTGTGTCACATTTATTAATTATAAAAGAGGAAAACAATGATTAAAGATTAAGTAATTATAAAGATTATTGCGTGACAAAAAATATAATATATTGATATTTTTTTAGTTATTATGTAAAAAAGATTTTTTTATATTTACCAATTGTTGTATATGGATCAATAATCAGGATTTATTTGTCGCACCAATAACTGCAAAACTGTACTTTGACAATTCGCTCTTTTGCAAAATATTGAATGATTAAGTTCATTAAGATAATTAAGAGAAATAAATATTTATATACAGGATGTATCCTGTAAACCCTAAAACAACTGTAACACGTTAATAGCAAATTCCTGAGATTAATTGAAAACAAAAATCCATTATATTATAATAAAATTTTTATATAATTTATTCTTAAAACTTTTATAATTTAAAAGAAATAAATAACATAACTTGTGCAAAATTTGAAATTTTGTATTAATAAAATGACAAAAAAATAATTTTGTACTTTATTATCTGTTTATAAAAATATAAATCATAGATAAGAATGATATTGTCAAAGAGAGTGCAGTCCTTATCAGTTATATAATCAATTATATATTGGTGAGAAAAAGAAGTGCGATCGAGATATTAGTATTTTGTATTCATATATAATATAAATATAATAAATGAATTCACTCACCAGTCGTTGTATCCTCCAGCTCAATGTGCTTTTATAGCTATACCTGATGAAATGAATACATGACTTCATTCACTGCAGATTCTGTCATAGATTACTTCGCGTCAATTCCATCGAGACAATAGGAGCTGAGAAAATATTAATATTTTAATAATTAAATGTTGCATATATTCGTTATTATAAAACAAAACTATTTATAAAAATATGTGTAAATATTTCTTTATAAAACTTTAATAAAATATTTAATAAATACAAATTGCAATCTATGTATATTCAAGTATGCATACTAAAAAAAATATATATATATATTTAAATAATAAAACAATTAAATAATTATATTTACCAGCCAAAATATTTCAATTTGCTTTGCAGATTCTGATTCGTACTCCATATCATTTTTATTGAAGAATCGATGAACATTGAAAATCAGCACTTATCATCCGCATTATTAAACGAAAGATGATCCGCACATTTCATTTATGCAAAATTCACGAATTTTCGTCGCAAATTTGCCACATCACGATACATGAAGCGCTTAGTGCTGTAACAATTCACATAATTATCTGATTACTAGTTATAATCTTATACATTTTACTATTTGTTTAGCACTATCATACATTCAATGTGAGCAGGACAAACGACGACTGTTTTGGCGGTCGCGCGAAGATCGTCAGATGCAAATATGTACACAACTACGTTTCATGCACTTCAATTTCAATGAGCTACATTTTCAACATGTTCTATTTTAAAAATATATTGCGTTTAAATTATTTTAAGCAAATATAAGGCTTATTTTATGCTTCTATGATATCAAAATTTACATTCTCATTGAATTGTAACCTCTTTGAATATAGCGGCCGGTACGGCCACCAGACGATCGACATTATTAATCGCGAACATCCATAATAAATAATACGTGCCGGCAATCGTCTGTTACTTTAATCGATACCTCCAACAAATAAATCGCATTGTAATGCATTTTTACTATTGCCCTATCTACACCGAAGGATAATTCTGCTTGTGGCTCATCCGAGCGAGTAATGTAGACGCATTGAAATACATTGAAAATCATACTGAAGACGAAAGTGATCGGATGAGCCACAAGCAGGATCATCCTTCGGTGTGGATAGGGCATATGTAATTACTGCGGATAAAATAAACCGTTTACCTTTCATTTGTCCGTCCCGAATCCAAAAGGAAGTGATTAGTAAAGCCTAGCGCACTCTATAATACAATCGTACCAACCACTGCAAATTTGTTACGGCGCCGTTCGCGAAACGTAACACGTCTACGCATAAAATAGTTTCAATTATTATTATTTTATACATTCCACGATTCATTCCACGATTTTACGACACTTTGCACACGTTCAGAACGAGTGAGACGAACGATTGTTTTGACGGTCGTGCAAGATCATCAATTATAAATCGTACGCAACAACTACTTTTTATCCGATTTGATTTCGACAAGCTAAATTGTTAACATCTTCTAAACAACATGCGTTTAGATTTTCTTAATAGAAGATAGAGATCATTCTGTGTATTTCTAGCATCAAAATTTGCTTATTTACCGAAATTATAACCTCTTTATATAGTTCGGCCGCGAAACGGTCGGCATCGTTAATCGCGAACATTCGCGGTAAATAATAGGTTTCGGTGTTTGCCCGCCACTTTAATTGACTTTCCCGACAAAAATTCGCAATCATTATGCATATCTATGATGTGATTACTACGGATAAAACAAACCGTTTATACCGTTTACCTTTCATTTGCTCGTCCCGAATCGAAAAGGAAGTGACAAGAACTATAGCGCACTCTAGATTACAATTATCATACCAACTGTGCATAAACTGCTTAGGTTGGTAAAAAGTATGTTATTTATTAGATGCGCAGTAGTTGGTACGATTGTACTATAGAGTGCACTAGGCTTTACTAATTACTTCCTTTTCGATTCGGGATGCGCGAGTGAAAGGTAAACTATTTATTTTATCCGTAGTTATCGCATAATAGATATGTATAATAATTGCGAATTTCTGTCAGAAAGATCAATTAAAGTAGCGGGCAAATGCTGAAACGTATTATTTACCGCGAATGTTTGCAATTAACGATGCTGACTGTCTCGCGGCCGAACTATATAAAAAGGTTATAATTTCGGTAAATAGGCAAATTTTGATGCTAGAAATACACAGAATGATCTTTATCTTCCGTTAAGAAAATCTAAACGCATGTGTTGTTTAGAAGATGTTAAAAATTTAGCTAGTTGGAATCAAATCGGATAAAATGTAGTTGCGTATGTATTTGTAATTGATGATCTTGCGCGACCGTCAAAACAATCATTCGTCTCACTCGTTCTGAACGTGTGCAAAGTGTCGTAAAATCGTAGAATGAATCGTGGAATGTATAAAATAATAATAATTGAATAATAATAATAATAATAATAATAATAATAATAATAATAATTGAAACTATTATATGCGCAGACATGTTACGTTTCGCGAACGACGCCGTAACAAATTTGCAGTGGTTGGTACCATTGTACTATAGAGTGCACTAGGCTTTACTAATTACTTCCTTTTCGATTCGGAACGCGCGAGTAAAAGGTAAACTTTATTTTATCCGTAGTTATCGCATAATAGATATGTATAATTGCAAATTTTTGTCAGAAATATTAATTAAAGTGGCGGGCAAATGTCGAAACGTATTATTTACCGCGAATGTTCGCGATTAACGATGCTGGCCGTCTCGCGGCCGAACTATATAAAGAGGTTATAATTTCGGTGAATAGGCAAATTTTGATGCTAGAAATACACAGAATGATCTGTATCTTCCGTTAAGAAAATCTAAGACAGACGAATAATCTATATAGACGCGTTACGTTTTGCGAACGGCATCGTAATGAATTTGCAGTGGTTGGTACGATTGTACTACAGAGTGCGCTAGGCTTTACTAATCACTTCCTTTTGGATTCGGGACTCGCGAATGAAAAGTAAACTGTTTGTTTTATCCGTAATAATTACATAGTAGATATGTATAAATTGCGAATTTTTGTCGGGAAAGTCAATTAAAGTGGCAAGCAAACGCCGGAAACCTATTATTTACCGCGAATGTTCGCGATTAACGATGCTGACCGTCTCGCGGCCGAACTATATAATCAGGTTATAATTTCGGTGAATATGCAAATTTTGATGCTACAAATACACAGAATGATCTCTATCTTCCGTTAAGAAAATCTATACGCATGCGCTGTTTAGAAAATGTTAAAAATTTAGCTTGTCGAAATTGAATCGGATAAAATCGGATTGAATCGGTAGTTGTGTACGCATTTGTAGTTGTTGACCTTGCGCGACCGTTAAAACAATCGTTCGTCTCGCTCGTTCTGAATGTGTGCGTAGTGTCGAATAAATCGTGGAATGTAGAAGATAATAATAATCGAAACCATTATGTGCGTAGACATGTTACGGCACGAAACGGGTTTCGCAAACGGCGCAGTAACAAATTCGCGATGTAGATATATCCGTAATTTTCGCGAAGTGAAGTGTGCGGGAGTGCGATGTCGGTGTTTGTTCGGTAGTGCGAGTAACTAATTAATAAGTGCGGGTTTTCGATGTTCGTCAGTTCTTGGATGGAGCTGATGTGAAAAAGCTCATGGCGGAATTAGATAAAATAAACTGCAATATTCTGGTTGGTGAGTACAATTTGTTCATTATTTAAATATGCATATAATTTTGTAGTAGTATATACATGTACAATCTATATTTATTAAACATTTGTAACAAAATGTTTGAAGAAATTTATTACAATATTTATTAAAATATTCGTTTAATAATCGACATGTTTAAATTATCTATGGAATTTATTATACATTGTGTCTTGTTTTTTAATAACTAATATTATGTTATAAATTAGCTTTGATGGAGTCAATGTGGAGTGCAACGCAATGTGGAATACAATCTGGAGTACAAGGCACAACCTGCAGCAGATGGAGCACACTACAATACCCTAACTGGTGAATAAATTTATTTGTTTAACGTTTAAAATGTTTTTTATTGTCGTAATACGTACACATTCAGTAAGACATTTATATTTATGTATATATATTAAATATTTATTTTAATTTCAACATAATTATTCAATTTATTGCATATAATTATAATATGGTAAGAGATTTAATTAATATACATATTATTATATAACTTATAATTAATAAAATATATATTTTTTGTCTAGGTACAGCTATGAGGGCGTACTTAGGTAGGGTACAATGAACAGTGAGTGAATTAATTTATTAAGTGTGTATGATTATGAATGGTGAGTAAATTGATTTATTGTGTGTATGATGTATGCATGACAAAATATTAATATTTTACCTGCTGTATTTTTATTCATCAATATGTATTCAACAATTGATAAAAACTATACTTTGATAATAACGTTCTCATTTATAATTTGAATTTTTTTACAAATTGATAATAAAGTACAAATTTATTTTCTCTTTCTCTTAACAATGGAAAAATTTGAATTTTATGCTTTGACACACTTAATAATCATTTATCATTTTTAATAATCACTGTAAATCATAAATTTATAAAATTTTAAAAGTAAAAGTTATTGAAACAAGTTATATCGAAGAAAATTTTATAAAAACTGATTTATAAATTTATAATTTTTATAAAAACTGAATTTTATAAAAACATTGAACATAAAAACATTTTAGAAATTAAAATTTTGAAGATATAAATTTTGAAAATACAATGTCCAGTATAATTTTAGTAAGAAATTTCTAATTTTGCATAATGCAATCATGCAATTTATTATATTTAAATTATTGAAAAAGATTATTAATATTATATAAATGTATATGCAAAAAAACATTTTATAGAGATATAAATTTAAAAAAATTTAATTTATGGACTAAAATTATGAACATATAAATTTTGAGAATAGAATGTTTAATATAATTTTAACATACTTGAATATATTTTTTATTTAATTTTATTAATAAATTTAATAATTCAATGTTTTCGAGAGAGAGTAAATTGTCAAAGTATGCTTTTGGATGTGCTGTTTTTTACTGTGCAAAGAAACTACGATTACTGATATGATTACTGAATTGCTTATATACAACAGTTGATATAATTGATTTGCTTTTATGACGCGCGGTTTTATTTTTGATCCAACAATTCTTTTCTTTTGTTGGAAACCGCCCACAGCGCGGTGGAAAAAAGCCACACGGTTTCCGTAGCGTGAAAACGAATGCCTCTAATTATTCCCGCGGGAGCTCTCACTCAGGTGCCAGCAAAGAGCGAATAATGCTTATAGTTACGGCCACCTGTGTTTTCGCCTCCGCAAACGTTCTCCATATTCGCTGAACGCGCGCGCGATAAAATATAGCGGGAAATCGAGTTTATTTATCAAGCTGACGTGCGCCATCCCTCATGCTAAATACCAGAAGTGCGTTCATTATTCCCACTGCGCGTCGACTATCTCCCGGATCCGGGATGAAGCATACCGTGCGTGAGCGGAGCGATAATTACACTCTAGCTAGCTGAGATCTTATGATCTGGAACGAGTTCACTGTGCTCGAGATAATGTTTAGTTTTCATAATGATATAACTTTGTTGAGGATTATTTCTTGCCATTCTTGTCTCATTCAGAATTGAGAAACATCTGATGAAAGCGAAACAAGTTATGTAAATTATTCCGATTGTCTTGTTTGCCTATTTATATCATCACGTTCAATCTAGGTATATTATAAGGATGTTGCTTTGTAAGTAGATATTTTTAACAGAGTACTTTGGTGAAAATAATTTAGCCTCGCACATTATATTGATCAATGAATTGACGGCTTCAAGGTTTTAATGAGAGTCATTTAAAAGTATTTGTTTTATCTTTATGCGCATTCAAGTAGCGATGAAATTGATAGGAAAAGAAATTATGTTTGTTCTATGCATTTTTAACAATTTTATTAGATTGGTGTATGCATGGAAATTGTGGAAGTATGTCGAGTCTCGACTCAATCCCAGTACTGAGAATTTACAGTCACGAACTATTTATATACCGTCGCGTCGTGTTGATGGAGTTCCACTTTGTTCACTCTTTCCCCGACACTTTTTCTCACGAAAGAGTCTAATTGGTCTGACCCCGCAGCTGACCATAGCGCAGATGCAACCGTTTCGATCCGTGCAGAGACGGTGGACGACGGCGACAATCGTAAGAGAGTGTAATTTTTCATCTTAATGACGGATGACCGCCGGTCGTGCAATCTCCTCCTTCTCGTCGTCGTTGTCGCTGAATACCGGCATGGCACCCTTTGAATTCTTCTTCCTGTAATGGTCACACCTTCTTGGTGCCACTTTCTTTCACGATATATACGTTCCGAGTGCTAATGATGCGCGCGATTTGCATATCAATCGTAATTGACCAATCTTTGTGCGCGTTATAACCCGTACTGGCTATCCGTGTCGTCGGTTGTAAAAATAACTGTTTTCTCGCTCCAGAACGTTGTTGAATTTATTGCTCACGAGATTGAGCGTCGTGGCTTAATTATTATTCGCTCGGAAAGCCTTTCCGAATACGAAGCGGCCCAGAGGCCGCGATTAAAGATCGCCGACGATAGGATGATTCTTAATTGGATTACAAATTATACGAGTTTCTCGCGCGCGGCTTATTTAAATTCTGATAAGCTGCGTGATGGATGGTATCCATTGAAAAAACAAATTTTACTTTAAATCTGGTTTGATGAAAGCCTGGTTCACGAGAAATGTATTATTTTCAGCAGATTGATTAAAGTTTAACTGCAATGTGTAAGTGCAATAATATCTCTCAGGAATATATTCTTTAAAATTATTATTGTACTAACATATTGTATTAAACTATAATTAATATTATTAAAATACTGCTTTCGAAATTTCTATATAAAATAATGCAGAGAATTTTCTGCAATAAAATTCTAATTTTTACGGATATACATCGTTCGCTTCAATCCTAGCGTTATAGGAAAGCATCTGGATGTCGTTTATTTTTGCCGCGTAACGCGACAAATGTCTGATCATTAGTAAAGCATTTTGTAAGTCATCATGCGTTTGAAAATTGAAATACGTGTAAGTTCGAGCCTCTAGGCATCACAATGCGCGACATAGTTTGTGGATATTTCTATTGTCATCGTCGGCTTCTCTGACACATCAAAGAAGTGATGCGGAAAGTCCAAGATTCTTTGGAACGAATTTCAGAAAATAGCTTAGTAAGAATACGCTGATATTCAAAGCATATTTTGAAAATATTTTCCTCGACGAGTCATCTATTGTGATCTTTCGATAATATTTACAAATATTCTTGAGATTTATATAAAGCATTATGACACCTGATATTAAAATAATCGCTTTATTGAATCATATTTAAAGAAGTATGATATAAAATCACAGAGATAACGACGTAATAGATGATATACATATTTATATGAAACGATGCATATCGCTTCATCGCTTTATCGGAAATTGTATGAATAAAGCGCTGTACGATGAGGCGTACGCGTACTCGAATTGACGTTGGTTTTGTATTAACTTCTGACCTTGTGCTGCGCTGAGCCGTCGGCACGGAAATGATCGATAATTATTATTACTTACACCAAGAGTATACACGTTGCCGGATATCGGGGCCGTTGGGAGGGGAGATATCATTAGGGGGTTGATTAAGCCGCATCGAACGGAGGACTCGCGTATTCGCAGAAGTGAGGTTCGCCGTTCCTCCGAGCGATTCTTCGCATCGCGCGAATTACTTGATTACAGCGGCCGATGAATTGAGCGAGCTTATGGAGAGCTCGTTATTTAGCGGGCATCATTGCGACGAGTTCGCGCTGCTGGTAGTTACTGAAAATTATGCGCGTTTCAATTTCTCGAACACGATGGATCGCTGATAGGCTCGTACTTAGCGACGGATGTTCGTGTTATCTTGACTGGTGCTTTATCTTTGCCGGGGAATATTTTTTGCGCGGCTACGAAGAACGACGTTTTGCATACATTATTTTTTATTATCCGATCGATTTTCAGAGGATAAGTATCGAAGGTCCAGATTGTTCGTTTTGTGCAACAGTATGATTAAACAGAGAAAGTCGGGTAACTCGATCCTGAACGCATAATTCATGCATACATTTGTTTTAAATATCATCACATCAATATTCAAAAATGATTTAAAAAACTTCAATAACACAATTTTTTGCGCATTAATGCCTCCAAGGTTTGCGCCGGTTGATCTGCACATTTTAGATGATAAAATTAAAATGTTTATAACAGCAATCAAGTTTAATTCGCGTGATCATTTTGCTTCTTAATATAAATTCGCAAATCAAAAGCGAGAACGCCTTATATAATCCGCATAACGTGAAATTCCAACGTGATAAGCCGCTTTTAGACCTGTTCCGATCTGCTACAGGATCCCACCCGACTTTCTCATCCTGTCGCGAAATACTCGCCGGTTCGTGCATGTACCGTCGCGCCCATTCACGCGGAGTGTTGAATTTTTCGTCTGCGAGAGCCGGGAGAGAGCAGGATGCGGTTTCCCGGGATTGCAGTCGACTGCAATTACTTGCAGCCTGCCCGGTAAGCCGAGGCGGGACGACCTTCGACCCTTGGGCAATGTCTGCTGCCATGGAGGCTGCTGGTAATCACGTATCCTACCGTAGCGTTCGCCAAAGACCACGAGAGAGAATCCTGGCGTGCGTGCCTCCGTGACGGGGTGGGAGGAATGTGTAATTTTCTCGCAAGCTTGAACATAATCGGGGCTGGGGATTGATACGGCATTCCACAGCGCTCACAAGAGATCTGAATAGGCATGTGGATGCTCTTTTCGAGTAGATACTGTGGTTCACTTTGACTTGCTCTAATTTGTTTTAATCTAATTCTTACCGAACTAAAGTAAGCTGCATTTTTAGTAGATAATTAATTGTATTTAACTACAAAAATATAAAAGTAATGAAATTTGATTTAATGCTCAATAAAACTTCTAACGTTTATGCCACGGTTGACAAGAAGCAAATGATAACTATACGACTTTACGGTTTTATATCTTTCTTATTTAATAATTTTGTCTGTAAATGTATATGCAAAATTGTGCATGAAGATTTCTTCCACATTGCAATTGCGCAGCTTCTTTCGTACATAGTATTTATTTTCTTCATTTATATAATAATTTTAAAATATCCTAAACTTAATAAATCATCTTACAAATAACAAAGAACGAAAGTACGTAAATCATGAAAATATTCTATCAGTTT